GAAATCATAAAAAGTCTACATAACTCCTTGACACTCCCGTCAGGGCTAATGATTGCGGTTGCCATTGGGAAACCTGAGGGCAAAGCTGTGCCCAACTTTGCCCCCACTTTGGAGCTGAGAATGGAGCCCATGCCAGTGTGCATTCCACAGACAGACCATTTCCTGAGACAATAGTGTTTCTCCCAGTAAACAAAGATCAAATATAAACTCCCTGCTATCACCACATCTGGCTCTTAACTGCAAGAGCCACCTACTGGCCTGGAGGTCAAACTGCACAACCCAATAGAAGTGTTGACACAAGTACAAAGTGCTTGAGAAAAAGATAAGCGTCTCAAGACCTTTGCCACTCAAGATCTGCAGGAAACTGTTAGCCTCATCACATGCCTAGTGCATCACTACTACAACTGGCATTTGAGAAAGTCACCGCATGAAGGCTATTTATAACCAAGGAATTCATACAGAGTATATGCTATTCTCCCCGTCATTACCGCAAGTGCTGGTGTTTGTGCTTGCCAATCAGCTATTTGAAGGAAGGTTTGACAGCTTAGCTCCACCCAGCTTTATCCTCCCCTTTAGGGGCTGAGCAGAGAGCTCAGGCTAGTGTATATTCCATAGACCTGCCCCTTGCCTGAGGCAACAGAGAGCTTCTCCCAGTAAACAAAGATCAAGCATATACCCACCTGCTTCTGCCCAGATTTTATTCATAAGCACCACATAGTAGCCTGGAGGTCTAACTGCAAAACCCAATAAAAAACTGGCTGACACAAGTGCTCAGCACAGGGAAACAAGTTAAGCTTCCTGAGACTTCTGCACTCTGGCCCTGCAGGAGGTGGTGGCCTAGCCCAGCATATCACTACTACAACCAGCATTTGAGAAAGCCACCACACAAAGACTATCTATAATCAAGAAACTCATACAGAGTCTTTGCCACTGAAAGCACCCAGAACCAAAGCCAAATAACCCTACACAATGTATATTATAATCACATCCTCAAGGGGGAAAAAGTCCTGACCAAATGAAAGTAAATTTAAAAATAAGAACAGATAGTTGATCCAAATGAGAAGAAACCCAAGAAACAATTCTGGAAGTATGAAAAAACAGAGTGTTACAACACCCCAAAGGATTGTACTAACTCTTCCACAATGAACCCTAACCAAAATGAAATATTTGAAATACCAAACGAAGAATTCAAAATATTGATTTTAAAGAATCTCAGTGAGGTCCAAGAGAAAGTAAAAAATCAGTACAAATCAGAAACACAATTCAGGTTATGAATGAAAAATCTACTAGAGATAGATTTTTTAAAATAGTTTTTTTTGTTGTTGTTTGTTTATTTTTGTTGTTGTTGTTGTTGTTGAGATGGAGTCTTGTTCTGTTGCCCAGGCCAGAGTGCAGTGGTGCAATCTTGGCTCACTGCAAACTCTGCCTCCAGGGTTCAAGTGATTCTCCTGCCTCAGCCTACTGAGTAACTGGAACTACAGATGTGTGCCACTATACCCAGATAATTTTTTTAAATTTTTAGTAGAGACAAAGTTTCACCTTGTTAGCCAGGCTGGTTTCAAACTCCTGACCTCAAGTGATCTGCCCACCTTGGCCTCCCAAAATGCTGGGATTACAGGTGTGAGACCACTGTGCCCAGCCTAAATAGTTTTTTAAAAATGAACTTCTGTAAATGAAAAATTCATCCAACCTGGGCAACAGAGCAAGACTCCGTCTCCAAAAAAAAAAAGAAAAAGAAAAAAAGAAATTACAGAATATAGTTGAAGGCTCTAACAATAGACTAAACCAAGCAGAAGAAAGAGTTTCAGAACTTGAAGACAAGTCTCTTTTGAATTAACCCAGTCAGACAAAAATAAAGAAAAAAGAATTTTAAAAAATGAACAGAACTTTCAAGAAGTTTGAGATTATGTAAAGTAACTACTGAACCTATGAGTCACAGGTATTCCTGGGGAAAAAGAAAAAGTGAGAAGTTTGGAAAAATTATTTGAGGAAGTAATTGGGGAAAACCTCTTTAGTCTTGCCTAGAGATTTAGACATCTAAATAAAAGAGGCTCAAAGAACGCCAGGAAGATACATTACAAGACAGACTTCATCAAGATATGTAGTCATCAGACCATCTAAAGTCAACATGAAGGAAAAAAATTCTAAAATCAGCAAGAGAAAAGTATATAGTCATCTATAAAGGAAATCCCATCAGAATAACAGTGGACTTCTCAGCAGAAACCTTACGAGCCAGAAGAGATTGGGTCTAATTTTTGGACTTCTTAAAGAAAAATAACCTGTCAAACATGAATGTTATATCCTGTTAAACTAAGCATCATAAATGAAGGAGAAATAAAGTCTTTCCTGACAAGCAAATGCTAAGATAACTCATCATCACTAGACCAGTCCTATAAGAAATGCTCAAAGGAATTCTAAAAGTCAAAATTAAAGTTCAGTACTCACCATCATAAATACACACAAAAGTATAAAACTCACAGGTTTTATGAAACAATTAATTGAGACTACAGAACAACTAGGTAAAAAAAATAACATTACAACAGGAACAAATCCTCATATATCAATATTAACTTTGAATAAAAAGGGATTAAATGCCCCCACTGAAGAGATATAGATTGGCAAAATAGATTTTAAAACATGAACTAACTATATGCTGTTTACAAGAAACTCACCTTATTAATAAAGACATGAATTCAGGTAAAGGGATGGAAAAAGGTGTTCTGCACAAACAGAAACCAAATGAGAGGAGGAGTAGCTATACTTAGATAAAGCACACTTTAAATCAACAACAGTAAAATAAAACAAAGGAGGTCATTATATAATGATAAAAAGATCAATTCAACAAGAAGATATAACCATCCTACTAAATACATATGCACCTAACACAAGAGCACCCAGATTCATAAAACAAATACTACTAGATCTAAGAGGGATGAGAAATTACCTAATTGGTACAATGTACACTATTGTGATGATGGTTACCCTAAAAGCCCAGACTTCACTGCTACTCAATATATCCATGTAACAAATCTGCCCTTGTATTCCTAAATCTATAAAAAAAATTAAAATTTAACAAAAATAAATAAAACACATAGCTAAAACTAAAAAAGCAAAAACAAAAAACTATGGTAAATATTGGTAAAGATGTGGGGGGAAAAGTGAACTTTCAAATATTGCTAGTGGGAATATAAAATGGTACCACTTTGGAAAACAATTTGGTAGTTTGGTTTTTTTTTTTCTTTTCTCTTTTTTTTTTTTTTTTTTTTTGCATGCCAGAAAAAAATATTTACAGGAACTATGGAACACAGAGGTTTATTACATCCATAATTAACATGGAACGTTTACTATCAGTTTGATAAGGACAACACTGAGACATCTTAGGACAGAGAGAAAGGGCAATTTTCAAAGGGAAAAAGCATAGTATATGCATATTTAATAAGTAAAACATACACATACCCTGTGAATCCATCATTCTAATTCTAGCTGTTTATCCAAGAGAAATGAAAGCATATGGCTACACAAAGAGTTGCACACAAATTTTCAATGGCAGTTTTATTTGTAATAGCTAATATCTGAAAACAATCATAATGTTCATTAGAGGGTAAATGGATAAATAAATGATCATATATGCATAAAAAGGAATACAAGCAATAAAAAGGAATTAACTATTAGTACATGAAACATACATGATTCAAAATAATTGCCTTGGATGGAAAAAGCCAAGCAGAAAAGTATTCATGCTATATTACTTCATTTACATAATATTCAAGAGAATGCCAAGAAAGCTACAAGAACAAATAGCAGGTCAGCTGTTGTCTGGGTATCATGGAGGTAGAGGGAGGGAAGGGAAGAGGAAAGAGTGGATACCAAAGAGGAATGAGAAACATTATGTTGATTATGGTAATGGTTTCACCAGTGCATCTTTTGCCAAGTTAATCAAATTATACACTCTAAATAATGCAGTTTAATCAATTATATCTCAAAAATTTGAAATGAAAAAAAACTAAAAACTCCTCTCAAAGAACAAAACCTCTAGGACCTTATAGCTTTCAGTTACAATATAGTCAGGCACTCAAAAAAAAACTTTAACACAAATAAAATTCTCTTTGGTTGCCACCTTAAACTCAATCCCATCCAGAGAACACAACTTTTATTAGAATGACATGTGATTTGCATTTTTAGTTCATGCATTTACTTATATTCACATACATATAACGTTTTCACATAAATTGGAATCATTACTATGCATGTTGTTCTAAAATGTTGCTTTTTTACTCAAAACATGTTTAATAAGATAAAATCTGCTGCACTCTTTTTAACAGAAGCACAGAATTAAATCATATGGATGCACTTCATTTTATGCTACTCTACAGAGTGACAAGACTTCTTTGTGCGTATATCTTTGAGCAGTTATTTATTTCTTTATAAAAGCCTTTTTAAATTTGCAGATCATCAACAAAGCATTAATTTGATCAGTTAAAAAAAATTGCTTCTATCCTTCTCTGAAAAGAATAATATACAGAAACGAATTACATATATATATATATATATGAATAATATGTCATAAGTGATCAGAAAGACATTGTATTTTAGGTGGAGAGACAGAGAGGTGACCAGACTGCTACATGCAGTAAGATGAACCCTGATAGAACTAACACTGGAGGCTGTGAAAAAATAGCTAGGAGTACCCAGCCTTGGTAGAGCAGCATGATTTCTTCCTGTAATTCTTTCTCTCCAAATTGCCATACACTTCAGCAGAGTTTGCAACTTCTCTTCTAAGTCTTTATCCTTCCCCCAAGGCATGCCTAGCACAGGACTCTTGAACAGTGATGCCTCAATTAGAGTTGCTGGCCAATAGATCGAAGCTGTGTTGGCACAATATCCTACATCCTCCCAATCTACTGGCTGAGCCCAACCCCACCTAAGAAGGACAATAAAGATCTGTGTTCAGAGTCATACTGAATAGAGACTTCTGGACTCTATAGAACCACTGCCTCCTGATGAAGTCCCTACTGTTCACCCTTGCAGTTTTTATGCTCCTGGCCCAACTGGTCTCAGGTAAACAGAATCTTGGGGAAGAAGAAACACTGGCCTAGAACAGGGTCCTGCACATGGAGTCCCTATTTCTAAGTGGTCTGTGGAAATGGGGTCTGGCTTCTCATTGGGAGCAGGGCTGAGATTTGTCCTACTTCTGCAGACCACCGCTGTTCTAAGAAACTTGAAGGCTCTCAGGGTAGAGCAGGATCTATGATCGGAGCTGGGGAGTAGGGTAAGGCAAATCCCATAAAGTTGCCTCCAAAGGTAGAAATGATCTTGAAATCCCCAACTTCTATCCTGTCACTTCGGGTCAGTTCAGTCAAGCTCTGCCTCATTGCACCCTTTTTCTTTTCTTTTTTTTTTTTTTGTGGTCGATATTCCCTCCTGAGGTAACAATTACATAATATTACTTCCCCCAGTGTTCTTGGTCTTACAGAGAAGGTCTCTGATTTTTTGTTTGTTTGTTTGTTCTTGCACGTTGTTAACAGAACAGGGAAGGCTGTTTCTATATATGTATAGGACTGTAAAATGGAAAAGGAAAAAAAAACTCTGTGTGGAAACTATTTCAAATCTGTATCAGATTTCAGCTCTGTTTGTGTAAGCATTTATTTTTAATTGATTCTGTAGCTTATATTTACAAAACCAAGACAAGAACACTGAAAGTTATTTAGAAATAAATTGGCCACATTTCATCACTGCTTGCATTTTTTTTCACTTGTAACCAACTGATATATGAGTTTATAACCTGCTTTATTTTTTTACCTAAGATTCTATCAGGAAAATTTTCACAGGTTTTGAATATTCCTTGAAAATACAATTTGCAGTAGATGCTTATAATTCTGTCATATTTTTGTACCAATATTAACTTGGAGAGTCCTTAATTGTGTGCCATTTGGATTATTTTTTCTAATGTGTGAGTATTGTAAATAACATTATACAACCTTATTAATATATCATTGTGAGATTCTCTGTTTGTATAGGTAAATTTTAGAAGTTCCATTGCTTGGTCCAAGGATATTATTTCTTCTAAGTTAACTGGCACATATTACCAATGGTTACTACTGGAGTATTTGTATTTTTAACATTTGTATTTCATATTTCTTGCAAATATTTTCAAATATATTGGTTGCTTCTAAAATGCATTATTTATTTGAGACACCTAATTTTCATTTTCATGATGTCAAATCTATTGGTGTTTTCTTTGCATTCTTCCATTAACTTAGAAAGTCCTTCTCCATCTTGAGAACAGTTTTTCATGTATGATTTTGTTTTTTACACTGGACTCAGTCCCACCTTTTACATAAGACACAATGAAATAATCTAACATTCTTTAGTATAATTTCCTAATGGGTGGAGGGTTATATAATAACTCCATAGCCCGCCTCTAGAGATTGTAGTTTATATTCCCTAGAATTTGCAGAAATGTTCAAATTGATAGTGGATAAGAGGAAATTATAATGCTCTCATGGTTGTCTCAAAAAATTTAGACCTATTGCATCCTTGAAATTCTATGAGTTTAAATTGCCTGATTTCTCCCTCTGTCTCTGGAACATTAGTGACATACATCGACACATATCACATACTTGTATGTCTTCCTGTTTCTACACTTTGTGTGTGTGTGTGTGTATTCTAACATACACATATCTAAAGAATTCTATGTGTGTTTATATTTATAAAATTTCACTTAAACCTCAAAGTAGGTATTTATGATTAGGAAAAACATGCTAAAGCAACTGGAAAGGCACTTGAATAAACAGTGCTCAAAAACTATTGCTATTTTTTATCCTCCTGTGATAAATACTTAGGCTTAATAATCTATATAATTCCTTTATTCAGGTAATTTGTATGTGAAAAGGTGTCTAAACGACGTTGGAATTTGTAAGAAGACGTGCAAACCTGAAGAGGTGCGTTCAGAACATGGTTGGGTAATGTGCGGCAAACATAAGGCATGCTGTGTTCCAGCTGACAAACGTTCTGCTTATCCTTCTTTCTGTGTCCGCTCAAAGACTACGAAAACTTCAACAGTAACAGCAACAGCAACAGCAACAGCAACAACAGCAACAGCAACAGCAACAACAGCAACAACAGCAACAACTTTGATGATGTCTAATGGTTTGATGTCTTCGATGACTACGATGGCCGCTACCCCTGTTTCTCCCACTACTTGAACATTCCAGCCTCTGTCTCCTGCTCTAGGATCCCTGACTCATTAAAGCAAAGAGGCTTATTCTGGTGTCCGTTTTCTCTCTACAGTCCCCTTCCCACTTTCCCTCCATTCAACAGTATCTGGAAGGGCACCACAATTTCATTGCACTAGCATGTCTATGGTAGAAATGCAAATAAAATAGGGCCCAGGAACAAGTGAGGGTTAATCCAAAACACCCACTCAGGAATGATAGATAGCAGCAATGTCATCCTTGAAGACAGTTCTAGGCCCACAGCTTGCCATACCAATTATTATCAAACTTCATGTACATCAGAAACACCTGGAGATATGGCTAAAGCAGAGATTTCTAGGGCTCACTTTTAGTTTCCAGTTCTGCAGGGGAGCTTGAGAATTTGCATTGCTCACAAGTTCCCAGGTGATGCTAGTGCTGCTGGTCCAGGGACCACACTGTGAGAACAATTGGCTTATAATATGAAAGGATTGAAAGCCAACTGTGGATGTGATTTCATACAGATTGAAGGCTGCATTTCCTATGTAGTTTTGGAGTAGATAGTAACACAAAATCATCCTACAGAATCCTCCTACAACAACCTGAGAATGTAGGTGTTATAACCTCACTTTAGAGAATAGGAAACTTGATTTCTAAGCATTGGAAGACTGGGACAGACTAAATTAACTACTAAGAGCATTCTGTCACTGCACCATGAGGTTGCCCAATTTTCTTCTCACCCTGGAAATCCTCATTCATAGTTTCCGACTTAAATATGATGAAAGGGAGATCAAGAGCTCTATAAAGTGTCCTGAATGTTAGGACAGGCACTCATCCCAAGCAATAGAATGTTTCCCTTACATTACATTACATTAGTGCTCTGCCTGCACCAATAAGAGAATATGACTGGGTGTATCATAGTCGTCCATCCATGCCTCAGGCCCACTTCCCTGATAGTTGGACAGGGAGAATAGGCAATGCCGATGCCTTCACTTTCTGGACACTTACAGTAGCTGTGTTTGTCTTTGTCATCTCAGTCTGCTCACTTATGAAATGATAGTGTTTTACTCAGTATCTTTCTCCCCACCCCTGTCATAGTACATCTTTCTGATTCTAAAAATATAAGATTGGCTTATGTTTTGTGGGGTCAACTTCACCTTTGACCCCATAAGATCCTAGAGATTTAGTGTAGAGATACAAAAGTTGGAGTAAACATTGGTGGAAGGGTTTTCTCCACTATAGACACAAATCCATGAGTGCCATCACAGACTCCTTTTCCTTCTTCACTTGATTCCAGTGAAGATTCATGTTCACTCTACCACCTCCAATATGCACCATGACCTCTATCTCCAACTGCTGCTAGGATCATTGCAATAGCCTTCCCATTGATTGCTCTGCATTCCTTTCACACACACACCTAACTATACTCCACAATGAGAGCCAGAATCACTTTTCTGAAACACAAATCTAACCTTTAGACTCCCCTCTGGCATCTTTGCCCATAGCATCCTAAGACAACTTTTCGGTGCCGCCTTCATCACTCTTGGTGTTCAGAACCTGCCTTGCATTTCCAGTTTTACCTCCAAAGCACTCTCACAGGGCATCTTGCTATCCCGCCACACGTACCCCTTTGTGATTGGTTTGAACTCACTGGATTGCTTCTGGTTTTGAGTTTTTGTACATACTTTTCTGTCTCCATTTATAACTGCCTGGAAAAAAATCTTTATTTTCTTCTGGAGGACTTTGATAACCACACTGTTCTACCCACAATGGCACTACTGCCACCATTTGTGCTCCACTGTTATGACTTATCCAGAATTTTAAGTCATCATGTCACATGCCTCACTCTGAATATCTGCTTATGTCTTCTCCCCTTCTAGACTTGGAAATTTTATTTAGGAACAGGAACCATTTTATCTTCTGTTTCTTCTACCGTCCCCTAACAAGATTCTATATTAATTCTTGTTGAATAAGTAAGAGGGATTCTCGAAGACCTGAAAGATCTTTGGATGTTACTGAAATCTCATTTTTATTTATTTTAGATCTTTTCCAAGAAAGAGGATTCTGTCTCCTTTAGAAGATCTATGATCTATGTCATTACATAGTAGAGGAGTTTTGAGGAGTGGCTTGTCCCAAGTGGTAGGACATCATTGCCTCTTACACCTATGCTTATCTTTGTAAGCAGAGCTCATGAACTTACACAAGAAGGTCGGAAGATAGAAGCAAGTTACTTCAGCAGAGGAGAATAGTAGGAAAAAAACATAACTTTAGAGTTGGATGTATCTGAGGTCATTCATGATCCCACCATGTATCCACTCTTGGACCGTAGACAAATGATTTCCCATTTTTGAGCCTATGTTGCTGAATTTGAAGAACAGAGAAAATACTTACTCCCACTCAAGGTACTTTGAGGGTTGCGAGAGTAATATATTAAAATGTCAATCATATCATAGGGATTTAGCTGTAACAGGTTGTTCCCTGGATAAGAAACAGTACAGCACATTTCCCCAGGGCCCTGCCCACTGGACCTTTGCTGCCTTGCATGAGTATGGGTGATTATAGCCTATGTTTCACCTGAGGGAAGACTCATTATTAGGCTGAGAATAGTGTAACAAAGTTGAGGGTCATGGGATTTATTTGAACAACCAGATGAGATTTTAAAGGCTTCTAGTAGAACTTGCTGTGCTTTCTTTTCAATGATCACCTTGATCACTACCTTGAAGACATCTTAGAGCTATTATCACGTTGATTCTAGACGATGAATATAATCTCAGTGCTGCAGCCTGAAACAGTGTCCTGCTTTCCTCTTGCCTTGTATCTCACCCCTCCTTCATGCCATGCTGGAACTTAGGTGGCAAATATTCTTTTCCTGCTTTGGAGTTGACTAATGGCATTAGGAGGACAAGGGAAAAGGAATCTTTATCGTGTGAGAAACTGCGATGTGCCAAACACATTAATACACAATTTCTTAAGCAAAAGCATTGTGTGATAATTATGACAACATGATTAAAGCTGAGGAACTTGGAGTAAAATGTATCTAGGGTTACATCTAGGTTTGTTCCTTACTAATTTTACTCATCATGTGGTCTCTATATCAATTTCCTCATTTGCAAGGCAGGTATAACCATGCATCTACCTCTTAGAATTACTCTAAAAATTAAAATAGATATTGCATATAGGGCACCATGATCCCTAGCACTGATGAAGTTCTAAGAAATGTAGATTTTAAAAGGCATATAAGATACAGGTTATTCCAGTTTAAGATATGAAATGTTTAAAAAATAAAATATGGAAATTCTGAGTTTCAGGGAGAAAGAGGATCTTGCACAAGAACAACCATATTTAGAAGGCAATTTTACTTGTTCTCAAGGCCACATCTCTACCCCATCTCATGCTAATCCTGACTATATCCTCAAAGCTGACTTCTACTCATACTACATAGCTATGTAAACTATGCACGTGCATGTCTGTGTGCATTCAGACTCTAGTGTTTTTTTGTTTGTTTGTTTGTTTGTTTTGAGACTGAGTCTCGCTCTGTCTCCCAGGCTGGAGTGCAGTGGTGCGATCTCTGCTCACTGCAAGCTCTGCCGCCTCCCAGGTTCACGCCATTCTCCTGCCTCAGCCTCCCTAGAAGCTGGGACTGCAGGCGCCCGCCACCACTCCCGGCTAATTTTTTTGTATTTTTAGTAGAGACGGGGTTTCACCGTGTTCGCCAGGATGGTCTCGATCTCCTGACCTCGTGATCCGCCTACCTTGGCCTCCCAAAGTGCTAGGATTACAAGTGTGAGCCACCGCACCTGGCCCAGACTCTAGTGTTTTGAATAAATTTTTGCCTTATAAATTAAACAAGATTTAGATTTCACCAGTCACTGATACTCGATCCCAATTGGATATTCTTTCAAAAGTCTGACTTCTCTCCTGAGGTGAGAGTAAGATTCCTGGGCACTTTTCGTAATACTTACCTTAACCTAGCTAAACACAATGAACACTCTTTTCTTTGAGGTGTCAGTGGAAATTAAGAGGAGAGTCTGAACTCTTACATCCCACATAGGGCTTGCAGAGAGGTGAAGATGGCAGTCCTCCCCTCTGTTGGTAATGGAGACCTAGAAGAAAGGCTGGGCATCCAACTCCCACGCAGTCATGTGAAGCAGCCCAGAGCAACATTCCCCTTCACTGCCTATGCAGTGACAGTAGAGACCTAGCTGGGATTCAGATTTCCCATCCCTCAACCAGTGGTAGCAATTGGCCTGGGGAGGAACCCCTTCCCTGCTGGTGCCATGTCGGTGAAAACTGAGGGGAGTGAACTTGCCCTTCCTTGCCATAGTATAAAAGGCCTGAGGTGGACTTCCCTTCCCAACCAGTTCATTATCATTGAAGACCAAGGGGTGGTCTTAACTTCAATCCCCAGGGGGCCGTGGCTGGCATCAGCCCTCCTTCCAGTTAGTGAGGATAGAGGATAGGAGGGTGCAGGAAAACAGGTGTCTTTAAAACTGAATAATGTTGTTTTTACCACAATTTAAAAAACTGAATAAGAAGACACGTCAGACCCCTGAAACTAGATAACTACACACGGAACTAGCCAGAACTAACATGCAAAAGGTTTAAGAATAGAACTGCAGTGGGGAATACCACCTAGATTTTTAAAATAAAAACTTGTATATATTTAAGGTATATATGCAACATGATGCTTTGATATACATAGACATAGTAAAATGATTGCTATAATCAAATTAACATATCCATCTCTTCACATTGTTATCTTTTTTTAAGGAGACAGCACCTGAAACCCATCCTCTTAGCAAATTTCCAGTATGCAACACCATGTTATTAACTAGAGTCCCCATACTCCCTTTAGCTCTCTAGACTTTATCCTATTCAACTTCAACTTTGTACCCTTTGACCAGCATCTTCCCATTTCCTCTATGCCCCCCTGCCCCTGATAATCACTGGTCTACACTCCTCTATGTATTTGACTTTAAAAATTCCACATATAAGTGAGATCATGCGGTACTTTTTTTCTGTGTCTGTCTTATTTCACCTAGCATAATATCCTCTGGGTTCATCCATGTTGTTCTGAATGGCAAGATCTCCTTTTTCAAGGCTGAATAACGTGCCATTGTGTATATATACAATTTATTTAATGTATTCATCTATCGATGTTGATAGACGATAATGTCTTCATCTATCAACTTAGGTTGATTTCATATCTTGGCTATTGTGAATAATGCTGAGCACAGATATCTCTAAATGGTGCTGATTTCATTTCTTTTTGGTATATACCGAGTTGAGGGATTGATGGGTCATATACCAGTTCTGTTTTTATTTTTTTGAGAAGCCTCCATACTGTTTTACAGAATTGCTGTGCTAATTTACATTTCCACCAACAGTGTGCAAAAGTTCCCTTTTCTTTATATTCTCACCAATACTTGTGATCTCTTGTCTTTGTGATAATAGTCATCCTAACAAGTGTGAAGTGATTTCTCATTGTGGTTTTGATTTGCATTTCCCTGATGACTAGTGATGTTGAGCACCTTTCCATACAATTGTTAGCCACTTTTACGTCTTCTTTAGAAAGATTTCTGTTCAGGTCTTTGCCCGATTTTCAAGTGGGCTATCAGTTTTTCGCTACTGAGTTGTGTACGTTTCTTATATATTTTTAATATTAACCTCATGTGATATATGGTGGGCAAGTATTTTCCTCCCATCCCATAAACTGCCTTCTCACCCTGTTGACTGTTTCCTTTGCTGTGCGACAAACGATCTTCAATGATAATACCAAGAATATGTAATACAGAAATGATAGTCACTTCAACAGATGGTGTTGGGAAAACTGGATTTCCACAGGCAAAACAAATGAAATGGATCCTTATCTTACACCACACGCACACACACAAACTCAAAATGGATTTAAAGATTTAAATGTGAGCCTGGCAAAAGTAAACCTCCTAAAATGAAACAGAAGGGAATATATTCATGACTTTGGTCTAGGCAACAGTTACTTGAATACAACCTCAAAACCACAAGCAACAAAAGCAAAAATAATATATTAGTGGGACTATGGATACATTTGAAACAAACTACAAACTAGGAACATCTCAGCAAAGGAATAGAAGATACAGGCTGGGCGCGGTGGCTCACGCCTGTATTCCTAGCACTTTGGGAGGCTGAAGCGGGCGGATCGCGAGGTCAGGAGATGGAGACCATCCTGGCTAACACGGTGAAATCCCGTCTCTACTGAAAAAAATACAAAAGATTAGCTGGGCATGGTGACAGGGGCCTATAGTCCCAACTACTTGGGAGGCTGAGGCAGGAGGATGGCGTGAAACTGGGAGGCGGAGGTTGCAGTGAGCTGAGATCACGCCACTGCACTCCAGCCTGGGCAACAGAGCGAGACTTCATCTCAAAAAAAAAAAGAAAAAGAAAAAGAAAAAGTAATCAAATGGAAATTATAACTTTATAAAATGTAATCAAAGTAAAAAAGAAAAAGTCACTCTATAGGCTCAATAGTAGATGGAACATGACAGAGGAAAGATAAGACAGATCTATAGAATTACCCAACCTAAAAACAGAGAAAAATAGATTGAAAATTGTTGTGGGAAGTCAGGGACCCCGAAAGGAGGGACCAGCTGAAGCCGCGGCAGGAGAACATAAATTGTGAAGGTTTCACAGACACTTATCACTTCCTCAATCAATACCTTTGTGATTTCCTATGCCTGTCTTTACTTCAATCTCTTAATCTTGTCATCTTCTTCGTAAGCTGAGGAGGATAAATGTCGCCTCAGGACCCTGTGATGATTGTGTCAGCTGCACAAATTGTTTGTAGAGCATGAGTGTTCGAACAATATGAAATCTGGGCATCTTGAAAAAAGAACAGAATAATAGCAATGTTCAGGGAACACCAGAGATAAGACTTCTCACGGCCAGTGAGCTGGATGGAACAGAGCCGTATTTCTCCTCTTTCAAAAGCAAATAGGAGACATGTCGCTGAATTCTTTTTCTCAGCAAGGAACATCCCTGAGAAAGAGAATGCGCCCTGAGGGTGGGTTTATAGACGGCCCCCTCAAGGCGTGCCGTCTTTTATGGTCCAAGCCGAAGGGATGAAATAAGCCCGGGTCTCCTGTAGTGCTCCCAGGCTTATTAGGACAAGAAAAATTCCCGCCTAATAAATGTTGGTCAGACAGGTTGTCTGCTCTCAAATCCTGTTTCCTGATAAGATGTTATCAATAACAATGCGTGCTGAAACTTCATTAGCAATTTTAATTTCGCCCATCCGGTGGTCCTGTGATCTCACCCTGCTTCCACTTGCTTTGTGATATTTTATTACCTTGTCATCTAATCAGTGAGTTTAAGCTATGTAAATGTATTATAACTATTGATCTATTATAAGGACTTTTTTCTGCCCTCCAGTTGTGACTTATCTATTCCTCATTTTTTTAGTTTCTGTTGGATAGATCATGTTTTCTTCTGCTAATATGAATATTATAATTTTATTTTTATTTGTTTTATTAGAAATTTGTCCTTGCTCTCAGGACCCATTCCTATCCTTATATTTATTATTACTAATTTAACATCCAGCTTCAGAAATACAACTTTAATATGAAGGCTTTTTGTATTTCTCCTGACTGCTAAGACTTAGGGTCTTTATTTGATGCTCCACCACCAAGTCACCTGTAAGGGAAGTTTGCATTCACAGGAAGACTGTAAATAATAAAACCAATTCCTTGACTAGGACTTAAGCCATATAAAAGCTGGTGGCAAAAGTAAAGAGAGGTGATCCTTGAGACCTCTGAGGTAACTGCTGTTAAATTTACATTTGCCTCTAAAAATGATTTCTTCTATGTCACTATCTCTCAGTGTAAACATATTCTTGTGTAAAACCACTATGTGACCTGAATAATGGCCATAGGGCTCATCTAAGCCAACTGGCTTCTTTATTTAATGCATCTCAGTGGTTAACAGGGTTGAAATTTTTTGAAAACTGCAATCAATGATCAAAGAATGATCTAGGTAAACATCGATTCTTTGTGGCAACGTTTTAATATTTTCAAAGACAAGGTACAACTGGTAGAAAAAAAATACCCTCATGCATCTTTTTTTTCTAATTGTGGTTAAATATATGACATAATGTTGGCCATTTTAGCCATTTTTCCTTTTATTTTTAGTTGACACATAATTGTACATATTTATAGGACACAAAGTGATATATATATATTTCAATATATGTATACAATGTGTAATGATCAAACCAGGGTAATTAGCATATCCGTCACCTCAAACATTTATCTTTTGTATTGGGAACATTCAAAATCCTCTCTTCTAGCCTTTAAAAGTATACAATAAATTGTAGTTAACCATATTCACCTTACAGTGCTGCAACACGAGAAGTCATTCCTCCTATCTAGCTATAATTTTGCATCCATTAGCCAATCTCACTCCATCCACCCCTCTCCCTAATCATTACCAGCCTCTAATATTAATATCTGCAACCCTACTCTCTACTTCCGTGTGCTCAACTTTTTTAGCTCCCATATATAAATAGAAACATGTGGTGATTTTTCTGTGCCTGACATTTCATGTAACATAATGTCCTCCAGGCTATATCCATGTTTTTGCAAAGGACAGAATTTCATTATTTTTATGGGTGAATAGTATTCCATCGTGTATATATATATATTCCATTGTGTGTATATATATGTATAGTATTCCATTGTGTGCATATATATGTATATATGTATGTGTGTGTGTGTATATATACACATAATATATATTGTTCTGCATATGGAAATCCAGTTTCTTCAGCATGATTTATTGAAGAGGGTATACTTTCCCCAGTGTATGTTCTTGGTGTTAATATATATTGTTCTGCATATGGAAATCCAGTTTCTTCAGCATGATTTATTGAAGAGGGTATACTTTCCCCAGTGTATGTTCTTGGTGTTTTTATAAAAAGTCAGGTGACCTCAGATCAGACCCAACTACATCATACCTCCTTTCCAAATGTGCAAGAAACCTACTAGAAATTCTTATTGTTGGAGTTTCAGATTTATGTCATGGTTTATATTGCCATATTCACTTTTGGAGGTGAGTACATTTCGATCTTGGTCCAGCTGCGCAGAGAGTCAAAGTAGGAAAAGCACAGATTCTTCCCACCAGTCTACAGCCTACAGAGTGGCATTCAGTGCAATGGGATGGAACATGCTGTGTCTCTATTCCATGTGGGGGTAAAGTGGGTGACCTCAAATTTCCTGTGTCTGCCTACATGATGCAAAGTTCACAGTTCAGAAGTTTAGGGACACACTTCATATCATCCCATCTGTTCTGGTTCAGTGCATAAGAATCCAAGTCTCTAAGGAAGGTAGCATAGTGTGCAGTTCACTGGACCAAAAGCTTTGGCTGCACCTCTTCTGGAAAGCCTGGCTGTGGGGCTCTTCATGATCATTGTAATTCTGCTGTTCCAGAAACCCACAGGTAAACCAAACCAGAGGCTCACTCGAATCAACAGTGGGATGGAGTATTTTCAAGAGCCAAAGGGAACTTCATAATCCACACTAAAGGGAAATAGAGCCCTCAAAGATGGCTAAAGTTTATCCAACATCATCAGAAATTTCCTCTTTCTGGAGCCTTATTCCATGGTACTAGCCTTAAAAAGGAATACTCACAGAGCTAGAAAGAGGTCATAATTGCTTCTGGGAAAGATGTGTTGTTATAGAAAGGAATGATCCCAATATCTAGGGATACCTTCATGTCTTTGGATATGGTTTTTACTCTGATGCTCAGCTATATTTCCTTTTACTCAAATATATATGTGTGTGTGTGTGTGTGTGTGTGCATTCTCTATTATACTGCAGTGTGTGAATAGAGGAAGAAGCAAATTTTGGAATTAGGTTTAAGAAACATGTCTTCAATATCTACTAGTTTGTCAACTTTGAGTAAGTAGTGAAGACTGTAGGAGCCTCAGTTTCCTCATTTATGGAGATAATGACACCTGGTTAACAGGGGTTTTATTAAATGATATAACCCATGTGAAACTTGGCACATATTAAGAACTTAAAAATTAGAGTTTCCTTTCCTCTTTCAAAACCAGATCTCTTACATGTGTCCCTTATTATAAGAACAGCAATGGCCTATTCCTGGCCCTCTACATTCCTAAGACCCAATAGTTCACTACCTTACTGGATAACATGAAAGTCATTCTTGACCCTGATAGTGGGTTTGAACTCAGGAGAATAGTTTGACTCAGACATAAACACATAGTAACAATATGTTGTTCTCTGGGCATCAGAGGAGATACAGTAGTAAGTAGTGCCCTGGGAGCATTCAGGATGGAGGCAGATTTGCTGAGGTTCCTATGTAGAGCATAGTTCTATAGCCTAGAATCAAGGGTTCAGCTCCTTTATTTTCTCAGACAAGATCTTATGTTCTTGGCGGAGTCTATCAGATGTTAAAGGGAGGCCTAAAACCTCACAGGACCTAAATACAAGTGATCCAGTTAAATACAAACACTGAGGTTGACCTTGTTGGAAAATCCTCTTTGGAATGTATGAGGGTCTGCCTTGTGGATACCCCATACCTCTAATTCCTACAAACCTTCTCTATCTTCCCCAAAATCAACGTGCCTTCAGTCTCAAACACTGATATTGTCCTATTGCTCCTTTCTGTGTATAGTAACTGAACAACTTAAGACGTGCTGGGATAACTATGTACAAGGACATTGCAGGCAAATCTGCAGAGTAAATGCACTATGTGAAAATGGGAGATATTGTTGCCTCAATATCAAGGAACTGCAAGCATGTAAAAAAATTACAAACTCACCCAAGACAAACAATGAAAAACATCAGAGAAACTCAAATTCAGTGGCATTCTAAACAATATTTGACGAGTATTTCTCAAAACTGTCAAATTTATCAAAAAGGAAGAAATTCTGAGCCACAGTCAAAGATCAGAGAAGGCTAAAGAGACAGGACAACTGAAGGTAATGTGGTATCCTGGATGGACTCTTGGAACAGGAAAATAACATTAAGGAAAAACTAGTGGTGATAATAGTAATAATAATAAGTGTAGAGTCATTTAGTAGCAATGTATTTAGCTGTGATGGTTGCATTGTGGTAATATAAGATGTTAACAATAGCAGAAACTGGGTGAATATTTAGGAGCTCTCTGTATTATCTTTGCAACATTTCTATAAATCTAAAACTATTCTAAAACTGAAAATGTATTTAAATTTTGGAAAACTAACCACAAAATCAATTTGGCACATTCCTTTTCTTCTTATTTACGAAAGAGCTTCTCAGTTCTACATTGAATGTTTGGTAGAATCTAATGGTAAAGTCAACTGGAACAGAACTCTTTACAGGAAGTATTGTTAGAGATTAAGTTTATTGCAGGTTAAAAGGCAATTCAGTTTTCTATGTCTTCTAGTCAACTGTTGTATTTTGGCATGTATACTTTTCCCATTTTCTAAGATTTTTATGCTTGCTATCCTAAAATAGTTTGTAATGTCTTCTTTTTCTTATTAATGCCTGTAAGATATGTAATGACATCTTTTTCATTTCTGACATCTATTATTTGTGTATTTTCTCTTTTTTCTTGATAAGTCTCACATTCACTTATTAATCTGATTTATCTTTACAGAAAACAAATTTTCTTCATTAATTTTAGTTTAGTTTCCATTTCTTAGACTGCAACTTGCATTGCCCAATTAGAAGTGATTGAAAGTGACAGGTTTACTTCCAAGTGGAAACTTAAGAGCCAGTGTGTCCATGTGCAGTGGCTCACACCTGTAATCTCAGCACTTTGCGATGCCGAGGCAGGCAGATCACCTGACGTCAGGAGTTTGAGACTAGCCTGGCCATGGTGGTGAAACCCTGTCTCTACTAAAAACACAAAAATGAGCCAGGCATGGTGGCGGGCGCCTATAATCCCAGCTACTTGGGAGGCTGAGGCAGGAAAATCACTTGAGCCCAGAAGGCGGAGGTTGCAATGAGCCGAGACTGTGCCTCTGCACTCCAGCCTAGGTGACAGAGTGAGACTCTGTCTCAAAAAAAAAAAAAAAGCCAGTGTGTGGTTTAACCATCTCTTATCTCTCTGCCAAGGTGATTGTGGAAGCACTGTTGACATACAGCCTCTGTCAGCCTGAAGCCCTGAGTGACCATGAGAACAGGGTCATTCTTTTGACCTAAAATAGACATCTAGCACTGCCAGAAATAACCTTTTGGGAAGTTAATCTATGAGAATTGAGGTTTGTGTTTTATTTTGTTTTATATATATATTTTTTTAAATCAGGAATAACTTAGACCAGGGTGAACAAACTACTGCTGTCAGGTCAAATCCAGCTCATAGCCTGCTTTTTTAAATAAATTTGTATTAGAACATATACACACACACACACACAGACACACACAAAGATATCTTCACTAATGTTCTTTTTTTCTTGTTTTTCAAAAACTTTTGCATACCATAAAATTCACCTGTTTTAAGTGCACAATTTAGTGTCATATTTCTATTTTTTATTTTCGGTATACTTTTCTTTTTTGTAACTTTGTTAGGCACATGTTTATCTTTATAAAAGAAAAGCCTTCCTTCTTTTATGTTCCTCTCTATATACAGATTGAGCACCACCCCACAAATTTTCATTATAGAGTATGTTCATTGTTATATTATAAACCTCCTCATTTCTCTTAAACATGAGCATATAAATAACATAGAGATTATATAAAGACTATGGATATAAATGTTAATCATGCAATTTTCTCAACTAATTATAGTTACATATACAGTAACATTACTTTGGTGATATGTAAACCAAAATGTAAACAACAAAACTTGAAAGCAAACAGAAAACATCATATGCAAAAACTTGTACACACTTGTTTTTCATACAGTTTGTTTTCAAATATGATCTTCTATCTTGCCATAGGCTTTTTTATGGCTTTAAACAGACATTTATTTTTCATTTATATTGTCCTCTGTTATGATTCTTCCAGTCCTGAACTTCCTGCATCAGTAATTTTTAAAGATATTTTTGGTTTACAGAAGTTTACCAATTATTACCATAATTTATCATCAATTTATTATCAACTCTCACCATCATTTCAAAAGTGAAAGAAATTTCACCACCTAAAAATATGTATGTATGCCATATTAGAAGAAAACAGACTTTTAACTAAATGCATTCCTGTCTCTTAAAATTTTGTTCTACCATTCTAATTTTTTTCATTTTGTTACAGACCAGTGTAAACTTTGTCAGAACCCCATTAGGGCCCATGTATCCATTTAACAACAAAATTCTGTCATTTTTAAATTCTCAAACTCATAATTTATATGACCACTGCTACCCAATTGGTAATAGTCTTCTGAGGAATGTTTCCATTCCGTTATTTCTTGTCTTTTCTAATCACTCTCTGAATCTAAATTTCTCCTTAGTTTTTTTCCCTATAATTAGATGTTGAAGGTGTTTGCTTACTTGTCTTCTTTATTATAATAAATAATGTGTATCCCATCCCTAATGATTAGCACTTTGTCAATTTTTATGTATTTATGACAGGTGGACTCACTCTTATTCTAAACTCTGATATTAGTGATATCCAATGCCCCATTTGGAGACCATTACATTAAAAATGCACTTATTAGTTCTGGGACTTCCTAGACAATTTCCTTCATCTTTAAAAATCTGGGACCAACACCACAAGCTTTGTCCCATATGAAAGTTCTCTGCCCAAGTAATGAAGCATCTAAAAATGCTAGGAAAGATATTAGGTTTTAATATAACACACCAATAATTACATTTAATATAAATGATCTAAATCAGGAGTCCCCATGCCCCAGGCCATGGACTGGTATAGGTTTGTGGCTTGTTAGGAACTGGGCCACACAGCAGGAGGTGAGCGGCAGTGGGAGCGAGCATTACCACCTGAGCTCTGCCTCCTGTCAGATCAGCTGCGGCATTAGATCCTCATAGGAACTTGAACTTTATTGTGAACTGCGCATGCAAGGGATCTAGGTTGTGTGCTCCTTATGAGAATCCAATGCCTGATGATCCAAAGTGGAACAGTTTCATCCCGAAACCATCTTCCCATCCCTGCCAGTTTATGGAAAAATGGACTGCATTAAACTGGTCCCTGCTGCCAAAAAGGCTAGGGACCACTGATCTAAATACACCAATTAAAAGAGATTGTAAGATTGGATTTTAAAAGACCTGACTATATACTGACCACAAAAAAAAAAAACAAAAAAAACACCCTCACTTTATTTTTTATTGCACATATTTGTGGTGTACAACATGACATTTTGATATACATTGTGAAATGGTCACTCTAGTCAGGCAAATTAACACATTCATCATCTAACATAGTTTCCCTTTGTGTGTGTGTGTGTGTGTGTGTGGCAAGAGCACCTAAAATCTACTTTCTAAACAAAAATTCCAAATAAAATAAAATATTATCATAGACCTCATGTTGTACATTAGATCTCCAGACTTTTTGAATCTTACATATCTGAGATGTTTTATCCTTTGACCTACATATCTCCATTTCCTTCCCCTCCAACCACACCCCTGGTAACAACACTTTATTCTCTATCTCCGTGTATTCAACTTTCCTTTTCTTTTTTTTTTTTTTTAAGATTCCATGTATAAGTGAAATAGTGCAGTATTTTTCTTTCTGTGTCAGTTGATTTTATTTAGCATAATGTCCTCCATGTTCATTCATGCCTTGGCAAATGGCAGGATCTCCTTTTCTAAGAGTAAATAATATTCCATTGTGTATATATGTCATAGTTTATCCATTCATCCATCAACAGACATTTCAGTTGTTTCAAAATCTTGACTATTGTGAATAATGCTTCAATAAATATGAAAGTGCAGATACCTCTATGAAGTTAAGTGGTGATTTCATTTCATTTCTTTTCTTTCTTTCTTTTTTTTTTTTTTTAAAGACAGATGTCACAGTGTCACTCTGTAGCCCAGGCTGGAATGCAGTGGTGCCACCATAGCTCACTGTAAACCTCAAACTCCTAGGCTCAAGGAATCCTGCCTCAGTCTCTTGAGTAACTGGGACTACAGACACATACCACGCTCAGCCAATGCTTTTTAGGCACAGGGTATGGCTGTGTAGCCCAGGCTGGGCTCAAAGTCCTGGTCTCAAGCAATCCTCCTGCCTTGACTTCCCAAATTACTGGGATTACAAGCATGAACCACCTCACTCCGCCTGGTAGTTCTATTTCTAATTCCTTTAGAAACCTTCATACTGCTTTCCACAATGGCTACATCTGTCTACATTCCCACTAAAAATGTACAAAGGTTCTCTTTTCTCCACACCCTCATTAACAATTGTTATATCTTGTCTTTTTGGTAATAGTCATACTAGCAGGCAGGAGGTGATATCTCACTGCGGTTTTGATTTACATTCCCTAAAGATTAGTGATTTTGAGCACCTTTTCACATACTTCTTGGCCATTGTTACGTCTTCTTTGGAGAAATGTCTTTTGAAGTCTTTGTCCATTTTTTTAATTGGTTTTTTTTTTTTTTTTACTGCTATTCAGCTGTATGAGTTCTTTATATATTCTGTATGTTAATCCCTTATCAGATATATTTAATATAAAGACAAAGATAAGCTATAAGACTTTATGTCTTAAAAAGCTGGAGTGGCTATGTTAATATTGTACAAAGTAGATTTCAAAACAAGGAATACTACCAGGGATAAAGAGGCACAGAAAGAAGTCAATTTGCCACGAAAATATAACAATGCTAAATGTGCATGCCACTAACAATAGAACTTCAAGTTAAAAACTTGTAGAACTAAAAAAGAGAAATAGAGAAATC